AGCTGCAGATTCAATGTTGGAATGACAAAGTCCAAGGGCAGGTAGTCACCCACAGTTACCAGCATGTCATACCATGGATCCCATCCATTGATATCCCTGTGGTAACAAGTTGCCCAATTCACCATCACAGACATGCTGCTATATGTGGAGCTCCATATTGGCAGTATGGAGCTCATATCCGAATCCACCTGCTGTTCCACCTGTTTGCCAAGGTGGATCAACACTTCCCTGCCATCTGCATACATTTGTGGATGGATGACATGCAGGATTGCAGATAACAGGGCATTGGTGTCAGACATTTGGTCAACCCACTCCCTTGTAGAAGTGTTTTCTGTCCTGGATATGAGCAGCTGTGAGGCTTCTGGGAAGCCATTTTGGGGCTTCAAGACAGATGAGCACTTTATTCACAAGGAAAGAAATGATCACCCACCCCATGACCCTGTTGAAACCATGCAGGTGACAGATTGATGGTGCCTTTCAACTCAGCATTATTGTGGAAATATGACTTGTCCATCTGCCATGCCTGTGGGGAAGCCTTTATGCTTTCCCACAGTGGTTCCCTCAGAAGATGAAGGCAGTTCCATATGTCAGCCTGCCATTGCATTAAGTCAGTAGAATATGAGATTCTGCATTCCCTTACCCTTCTTTTTGGGCTGTGAGTTGGTCACCAGAATGGATGGCTCAGTCACTTCTGTGTATCTCTCAGCAGCTTCTGCATTGCAGGTTTTTCCACCCTGATTTTTCCAATGTTGACTGTGGAAAGATGAAAACTTCCATCACACCATTATGATGGACTTACTTGGGCAACGATAGGCCTGTGAGATTACTGACGATATGCAATCTGCTTCACATAACACTGGAAATGGAATCAATATATCTGGAAGGACGCTGTCACACACCAAAGGTGTTTGGTGAGGTGGACATGGATGTAGCTGATGAATGGAGGTGAAGACCATAGCCCTCATGCAAAGAAGGACAGCCAGCAATGTCGGCAGTCATCCCTCGCACAAGAACAAGTTGTCAGTGCCAAAGAAAAAGGAGGAGGCAAGTTAAGTGCCAATAAAATTCTTAAGCGCGCGTGTATGGCATTCCAGTTTTCGATGTATCTCCACCAATTCTGCAGACACCGAAACCATTCCCACACTCGCTTGTAGTGCTCAGCCACGTGATCCTACCTTCCAGGATTGGAAGGGATTTGCACACTCCACACGTTTCTACAGCACTCCCTCCAACAGACACTCATTTCGCTAATTCTTCTGATATGGCTGCCTCCACATCAGTCATTTCGCTTGTCCCCTTTGCTAGGGACCATGGCTACATATATCTACCAGGAGTTCCTACCAGCTTCCGTCCTGAAGCATCCTGGTACATCCCACCCTCATCTGCCCCCTCTCAGCCCATCCAGCTTGGACAGCATGTTCTTTTTGTCAGTATGACCTCCAGGAGGACGTTCTTTGGTCACCTCAGGTCTGTCATTCACTTGGAAAGGTCTTATGTGGTCGTTTCAGTCTCTCCAGTCCAAGAAGCATATGGATCCTTCCTCCCTGCCCCCTGCAATGTCTTCATACCAGTCTCGTCCATCATTCTTCCAACATTGCGACAGCTACAGTATAATCTACTGTTCTCCACTCTCCCTGATTGCATCCATGACGAGTATGATGCACATCTTGCCTCCTTGTTGCAAGATACAGCAGAAGATGCTCCCCCTTCATCCTCTCTTCCAACAGAGCCTCGTTCATGAAGTTTTTATTTGCTTCACTGAGAGGATGGTTTGGGGGGGAAAGTTGCAATCCCCTATGCTCCTGTCACCCCACAGACCCCCAAAGCTTGACCCCTGTTGACATCTGACTCACCCTGTCTGCTTTTGGATGTACTATATCAGCATCAGATCAGCACTGCCTCTCTGTCATCCCACTTTGGCCTAGAAGCGATCTCTTCAAGATGTGACATGCACAGCCTCCCCCTGATGTGATTCCAGTGTGCTTTCTTGGTTCCTGACATTGCTTGACTCATACTGTGACATTCTGACTGTCTTTGACTCACCTATTGCCAATACTTACCAATCTTTTGACTTTGCTTACTGATTCTTTGCTTTTTGGCTTACTTATCCTTACCAATGCTTACCAATGCTTTCCAAGACAATTACCCATTGCTTACATTCCTTACTCATCAGTTACCAATCACTTACCAGGTGTTTGCACCTTGTTTTCCATAGGCAATGCCCCTGTACTGTATATAAGTCACTGTACTTAGGTAGCAAAAAAAGAAGAAGACATCAGAGAGCCCCTCTTGCTTGCAATTTATCATCTCTCAGTAAATCATTCATCAGCTTTGATAGTTGAGACTTTATTAAGGGTCTAGCTATCATCTACTTCACTTATCATCATCTATCATCCATATACTTCGCTCTGAGCCCTCCCTGAGCTCAGTACAGCTTAGGACATTGAATTAAGTCACCATCCATCCTTCTGTAGGCTGACAGCAGTCTACCCTATTGCTTTCTATCACATTCTTGCTCCCTCTTTGTCAGGAGCACCCCCAACCCTCAGCACTCATCTTTGAGTGTTGTAGCTTGCAAAAACCCTCCCAAAGAACAGGTTCTACCATCTAGGTACCACATAGGCACACCACCACTCGCTTTCATTGTCTTTTGTGTTGGTTTTGGTTGGTTTTCACCACTGAACCTCACTTTGACTCACAACGTGAGGTCCACTAAATACCTCCTCTTGAAATCTGGCTTTCATGTATGATGCAATGCAGTCTGTTAGTTCCATTTGCCATCCGTGGGGGGTTTTAGACATGTCTTGCATAGTATTCATGCTTGGGGTGGATGAGGTTGGAGTTGTATAGTGGGCAAGCTGCTTGCAGCTTGATGGAAAATTACAGCATGTTGGGACACTTGCCTCAATATTTTGCTGTGATCTGATCAATATATTGTGACACTACACATGCTATTGGTGTTGGGCCCATCTTATGTTGCAACAGGGGTGGATCTTACTAGACAGACCCATCCTTGTGTTATGGCAATATAAAAGATATTACTGAAGGGCCCATCCATATGTTATGACCATATAAATAATACTGCTGAAGAGCCCATCCTTATGTTGTGACTGCATAAATGATACTGCTGAAGGGCCCTTCCATATGTTGTGACAGGGGCACATCTTACTAGATGGGCCCATCTATGTGCTGTGATGCTGTAAATGATATTACTGATGGGCCTGTCTTTATGTTGTGACAGGCATACATGTTGCTATTGACAGGCCCATCCATGTGTTGTGACCATGTAATTGATATTACTGACAGGCCTGTCTCATGTTGTGACAGGGGTGTATCTTACTAGATGGGCCCTTCCATGTGTTGTGACACTATAAATGATATTACTGATGGGCCTGTCTTTATGTTGTGACAGGGGTGCATCTTACTAGACAGGCCTGTCTATGTGTTGTGACACTGTAAATGATATTACTGATGGGCCCATTGTGAGTCAAAGTGAGGTTCAGTGGTGAAAACCAACCAAAACCAACACAAAAGACAATGAAAGCAAGTGGTGGTGTGCCTATGTGGTACCTAGATGGTAGAACCTGTTCTTTGGGAGGGTTTTTGCAAGCTACAACACTCAAAGATGAGTGCTGAGGGTTGGGGGTGCTCCTGACAAAGAGGGAGCAAGAATGTGATAGAAAGCAATAGGGTAGACTGCTGTCAGCCTACAGAAGGATGGATGGTGACTTAATTCAATGTCCTAAGCTGTACTGAGCTCAGGGAGGGCTCAGAGCGAAGTATATGGATGATAGATGATGATAAGTGAAGTAGATGATAGCTAGACCCTTAATAAAGTCTCAACTATCAAAGCTGATGAATGATTTACTGAGAGATGATAAATTGCAAGCAAGAGGGGCTCTCTGATGTCTTCTTCTTTTTTTGCTACCTAAGTACAGTGACTTATATACAGTACAGGGGCATTGCCTATGGAAAACAAGGTGCAAACACCTGGTAAGTGATTGGTAACTGATGAGTAAGGAATGTAAGCAATGGGTAATTGTCTTGGAAAGCATTGGTAAGCATTGGTAAGGATAAGTAAGCCAAAAAGCAAAGAATCAGTAAGCAAAGTCAAAAGATTGGTAAGTATTGGCAATAGGTGAGTCAAAGACAGTCAGAATGTCACAGTATGAGTCAAGCAATGTCAGGAACTGGGAAAGTGCACTGGAATCACATTAGGGGGAGGCCATGCATGTCACATCTCGAAGAGATCACTTCTAGGCCAAAGTGGGATGACAGAGAGGCAGCGCTGATCTGATGCCAATATAATACATCCAAAAGCAGACAGGGTGAGTCAGATGTCAACAGGGGTCAAGCTTTGGGGGTCTGTGGGGTGACAGGAGCATAGGGGATTGCAACTTTCCCCCCCAAACCATCCTCTCAGTGAAGCAAATAAAACCTTCATGAACAAGGCTCTGTTGGAAGAGAGGATGAAGGGGGAGCATCTTCTGCTGTATCTTGCAACAAGGAGGCAAGATGTGCATCATACTCGTCATGGATGCAATCAGGGAGAGTGGAGAACAGTAGATTATACTGTAGCTGTCGCAATGTTGGAAGAATGATGGACAAGACTGGTATGAAGACATTGCAAGGGGCAGGGAGGAAGGATCCATATGCTTCTTGGACTGGAGAGACTGAAATGACCACATAAGACCTTTCCAAGCGAATGACAGACCTGAGGCAACCAAAGAACGTCCTCCTGGAGGTCATACTGACAAAAAGAACATGCTGTCCAAGCTGGATGGGCTGAGAGGGGGCAGATGAGGGTGGGATGTACCAGGATGCTTCAGGACGGAAGCTGGTAGGAACTCCTGGTAGATATATGTAGCCATGGTCCCTAGCAAAGGGGACAAGCGAAATGACTGATGTGGAGGCAGCCATATCAGAAGAATTAGCGAAATGAGTGTCTTTTGGAGGGAGTGCTGTAGAAACATGTGGAGTGTGCAAATCCTTTCCAATTTTGGAAGGCAGGATCGTGTGGCTGAGCACTACAAGCGAGTGTGGGAATGGTTTTGGTGTCTGCAGAATTGGTGGAGATATGTCGAAAATCAGAATGCCATACACGCGCGCTTAAGAATTTTATTGGCGCTTAACCTGCCTCCTCCTTTTTCTTTGGCATTGACAACTTGTTCTTGTGCGAGGGATGACTGCCGACATTGCTGGCTGTCCTTCTTCACATGAGGGCTATGGTCTTCACCTCCACTCATCAGCTACATCCATGTCCACCTCACCAAACACCTTTGGTGTGTGACACCGTCTTTATGTTGCGACAGGCATACATGTTGCTATTGACAGGCCCATCCATGTGTTGTGACCATGTAATTGATATTACTGACAGGCCCATCTCATGTTGCAACAGGGGTGTATCTTACTAGATGGGCCCTTCCATATGTTGTGATGCTATAAATGATATTACTGATGGGCCCATCTCATGTTGCAACAGGGGCATATCTTACTAGACAGGCCCATCTATGTGTTGTGACACTGTAAATGATATTACTGACAGGCCCATCTTTATGTTGTGACATGGGTGCATCTTACTAGACAGGCCCATCCACCTGTTGTGACAATGTAATTGATGATACTGACTGGCCTGTCTTTATGTTGTGACATGGGTGCATCTTACTAGACAGGCCCATCCATGTGTTGTGACCCTGTAAATGATATATATTGAAGGGCCTGTCTTTATGTTGTGACAGGTACATCTTACTATGGACAGGCCCATCCATGTGTTGTGACCATGTAATTTATATTACCAACAGGCCCGTCCTTATGTTGGGACAGCATATCTTACTAGATGGGCCTGTCTTTATGTTGCAACAGGCATACATGTTGCTATTGACAGGCCCATCCATGTGTTGTGACCATGTGATTGATATTACTGACAGGCCCATCTATGTGTTGTGACACTGTAAATGATATTACTGACAGGCCCATCTTTATGTTGCAACAGGCATACATGTTGCTATTGATGGGCCTGTCCATGTGTTGTAACCATGTGATTGATATTACTGACAGGCCCGTATATGTGTCATGACACTGTAAATGATATTACTGACAGGCCCATCTTTATGTTGTGGCAGGAATGCATCTTACTAGATGGGCCTGTCTATGTGTTGTGATGCTGTCAATGATATTACTGACAGGCCCATCCTTATGTTGTGACAGGTGTACATCTTGCTATGGATGGGCCTGTCTAGATGTTGCGACACCATAAATGATATTACTCCTGGGCCCATCCATATGTTGCCAACTCTGTAATCTATCATAGATGGCCCCCTCTTTATGTTGTGACCCTATAAAGCATATGATGGGTGGGCCCATCCATATGTTGTGACCTTCTTCATGATACAATAGGTGGGCCCATCCATGTCTTACAGTAGCTTAGCATACTTACTTGGTCATGGGCCTGTCTATATGTTGCAGCATCCTTACCCTCCACAGGCCCTCCCATATGTTGTGGAATTGCATTTATGGGCCTGTACATATGTTGCTCTCACTATAGGCCCTCAGGCCTGTCCATGTGTCATGGCTAATCTATTTAGATGGGCCCATCACAGGGTCTATATAAGTGTTGGCATTTTGGCACACAGGCTACCTATATGTTGTGACTAAATGGACTACATGGGGTCAGATGCTGAGATGACAGAGCCCTCAAGCATGTGGCAGTTTTCAAAATCAACTTGCATAGCAGCAAGCTTGTCCATACACTGGTTTGTGACTAGCATTTGACCCAATGCTTTAAAGCAGTTTGAGTGCCTCCAAGGTTTCTTGACCACCTTGATATGTTTAGATTCCATAATAGATGAACATAGGCCATTTGGTGCACCAAATTCCTGGATAAGATGTTGATAATGGTTCATGGAGTGTTGGTGAGGTAATGAAAAGCCTTTCAGTCCATGCTGATGAACACCTGTCTCCTGGAAGATGCAGCAGTAGTTGTGAAAGCACTTGGGTGCATCTTGAAGACTTTCCAGTGCCCTTTCATTGAGTGAGTTCCTTCATACATAGTAGCAGAAGTCTAGAAATGCACTAAGTGTGTGCACAACTCCTGGAGGTACATGACCTTCAATTGCCAGAATATAGACCTTCATCAATGCCTTTGAATCATCCCCTGTCCATTGCTTGAATCAGCATCCTTCTGGAAAGCATCATAAATTTGGGTAGACAGGAACAGCAGCAATCCTGTTTCAAACAATGGCTTGAGTTTGATGTGTCAGTGCATGTTCTCCCCTACTCACCTCCAGTCAATGTCATCAAGGATTTAGTTGGCTTTTGCTTCACCATATGTAATCTTGAGGTACTTGCCAACCCAGGTTACAAGGTGATCCTTGAAAACACCTTTTATGATTTGGTGAAGGAGATCTGGTGTCAACATTTTGTAGACATCTGCATGAGGAAAATTGTTCATAAATGGCTGTCATACAAGTATTCAGATGTGTGCAAGTGATGAGGTTGGCACAGCTAAGTTACATACCATTAGATTACCCACTATACCATATTGGTCCCATAGTTCAGCAAGCATAAATTGATGAACACAGTATTCAGCATGCTCCTGTGATTGCAGAATACAACCATGCCCATCAAGGTTATTGGACATATTTGTGCATCTAAATCCATTCATGCTTGAGCTGCATGCACATTCATTGAATCTAAACTTACAGAGGACACCATCCTTGTATGGGGCAGGACAGTAACACCTGTTCAGGGTAGTCAGTGATATAGGCTGCAAGAGCATATGCAGCACACCTGACATTTGAATGTATGTTTGTAGTCAAAGTCAAGTGTTACTTCATCATTGTCAGTCATGAGATTTAAACCAGGCAAGTTCATGAGGGTCCCATACAATGGTGAAAATTCTGAGAGTTGTGTCTTGAGAAATGTTTTGTGGCCAGTCTTGTGGCTTGTAGTGTTGCCATCAGTTGTGAATGACCAGATAGGCCCAACATTCTCCACCACACCCGACTCCTGCCAGGAAGCCATTACAATGTTGAAAATGAACTCCATGTCAGCTGATTCCTCAGTCTTACAGGTTGGAGCAGCAAGCAGTGAATAAAATCCATCTTCATTGAAAAGATGCACACCAGCAACAGTCACCTCTTTGCCCAAATGGATGGTTCCCTCCTTCAGAGCATTAGCAAGGCTGAGCACTGTAGGGAATAGGTACTCCCTACTAAGGAGATTTAATTGTTTTATCTTTTCTACTGTATTTTTGCTTTGATGCACATTAGTGATACATAGTCTACCTGTGTGGCGCATTTTCAGTAGCTTAGTAAGCATTTTTGCACATTAGAAAAAAAAGGAAGAAGCAGACTGCAAGACAGTGAAATCAAAGACTGTGAACAAAAGACTATGACAAGCCCTTGTTGAGGCACTCCCAGACAACCTCCAGAAACCATTACTCACTTGTTTCCCCACTCCATTCCTTTTGCTCAACTCAATCCCATCCTTCATCATCTTTTCACTGTTCCAAGCAGAATCCCTCTGGGTCAAACTAGACCCATTTCTATCTACCCCTAGGAGTCCCCTGCACTCCTAGACTTTGTTCATTACCTAACCTACAGCATGGATTCATAAGTGTTTAGCATGAGGTCAACTTGATGGGAATGGTCCAGCACAGGCCACCAACACTGTTAGATGTGAGCATGTATACTGCAGTTTCTCTGAGTACAGTTTTGTCAATCACAAAGCTAACTCCACATAAAGGGTGATCTGTGGAGACATGACTGTGAAGTTGAAGGATTGAGTTGGAGATGTTAGCTTTGATGCTGTCCTTCAAAATGTGGCCAACAGTAGGCATGACTTTGATGAATGACATCTTGTCTCAGAGTGTCTGTGGGGATGGCAGTGCAAGCTGGTGACTGAGGGCATACAACAGATTGCCACCTCCAAGATGATAAATCAGAAGTGCTAAATTGTAGGCCTCATCAGAATGATTGCATGGCCTGTAGCCATGCTCAAGTGCATCCTCAATTTTGCAAAGGATACTGCATATACTAGCACCATCTTCAAGAGCTGAAGAGAGCATCTGATGGAGCCATGGGATGTCAGCCTGCAAGAGAGCCATGACAAGTGATGTGTGGTCCTCCAGGCTCACCAACATGTGCTTGATTTTGTGCCCATCATTAAGAGTCTGTCAGACACATTTATTTGTGAAATGAGGATATGATTCAAGGTAGATGTACCTGAAGTGTTAAAGTATTGAGCATTTCATCATGACAGTCTGACAATTCTAGGAGCTGAACTGGGGTGAGCAACCCATGCCACATGTGCAACTTGGACTGCTGAGCATTCTGTGTGACAGTCATTACTTTCAGAAGGAGTTGAATGCAGGAGAAGCAGCAGGAGCCATCTTCACTGGCACAATGCAAGCAGTTTGGTGATTGCACATAAAGTATGCCAGATATCAAATCAACATCAAATGGCAGCTTATCAGGTCCATCACAAGTATGGTATCACACACCAAAGGTGTTGTGGACATGGTTACAGCTGACTCTGCATAGCTCATGATGAGTTGTGTGCCATGCCATCAATGCAGATGAAGACTATAGCCCTCATGCATAGAAAGACTGCTGGACATGAGCAGTCATCCTTCACACAACAACAAGTCATCAGTGGTAAAGAGAAAAGAGAAAGCAAGTTAAGCACACATCAAAAGTTTTTAGCACCCATGTATGGCATTCTGGTTTTCATCATATCTCCACCACTTCCAAAGATATCAACTCCATTCTCACACTTGCTTAAAGTGCTCAGCCATGCAATTCTGCCTTCCAGTTTTGGAAAGGATCCTCACACCCTATGCATTTCTACAGCACTCCATCCAGAAGAGAATGGCAATAGGGGCTCAGCATGTCAAGCACAATGTGTTGCAACTATGCATATATTCATCAATTTAGGAAAGTAGCTACAAGTTCACTTATGGAAGCTACAGTTGATGATCACAAGCCATTTTCAGCAACATCAGTTCATTTAAGTATCTAGAACTGTAGATATTATACACACCTACAAGATTTAGTAGCAGTAATTTAAGATTGGTACAAAGTACAAGTGTTGTACAGGGTTTCAGACCACAGGTGCAATTTCTCAATGTTAGCAGGGAGTACGACCCCCGAACACCAGTTGGGGAGGGGTCCCGAGATGCGTCAGTATTCGGAATTCGCCGAACCCACTCCCCTTGACTTCCATAGCAACTTCAATAGTCAGTTATGTACATTGGTCACACGACAGAAGTAATATTAACTTGCAAACCGTTCTACGGGAGAAGGTGGCGGCAAGTCCAAAAGATGGTTAGAAGGAACCGCGGTAAGTACCATAGCAGGTTTACATAAGACCCTCCGATATCCCTGTGCCGAGTCTACAAGCTACTTGAGCTGCGGAACACGCATCATGTTTTGGTGCAGTGGAAAGCATGGCGAGCTCGTTCTGCGTAGACGGTGACAACCCATGAAAAAAACCCCGCAAATATTTACGGTTCAACTTTCCAGTGAAGGTACATGGCAGCGCATCCACCGGGATCCAGAGTTCAGGGTAACAGAACTTCAGTAATCTCGGCTGAATGAAAGACATCAAGCGGAGGATCTCAGCTTTGACATCGTCTGCAATCTGAAGCTTCAAACTATGTGGACCACTGACGAAGTGCGGCGCAAGGAATGAAGCGATGCGTGGCTCTTCATTGTACGTGACAACCTCTACTGCTATCGACCACCTGCTTTCGGCCGCGTGGAGAGCAGCCTCGATTTCTCCTGCGATGGGTAAGATCTCAAATTGCAAATCGAAATGATGAATTAACACACCCAGCTCGATTCTGTAAGCATGTAGTTGGACTTGGCTGTCTCGACGACCGGTGAGGTAAAGTCTTCCCTCGTGATTAACACTGGGGGAACCGGCATTCGAAGATCAGAATGAGCAGGACGCGTTAAAACTCACCGGCCGAAGTCACCAGTTCGGTACATCCTAAACTCTCTCCTGAATGGGTCCATCAAGAACGATCGCGCGGTGGCCTCTGGGTCTCCAAGGTAACCCAAGCCTACAGTTGGACCGGACACGAATATCTCCCCTACGCAGCCAACCGGCACAAACTTCATGTCAGAACCTAAAACGTAAAGTCGTGTCTGCCCTCCAATACTGAACCCCACGGGGGTGTCGATTGATGCTGACGAGCGGACAGGAGTTTCCACCGTGAAAGCGCAGATGGACTCGCTGGGACCGAAAGCGTTGAGTAGCGTTCGTCCATCACCAAGCCATTCTGCGTAACCCGTTTGTAAGAGGGAGAAGCCACAGAAGATGAGACGCACTCTCTCGTACGAACTGCGTCAAGGTTTCACCGGTGAAAACAACCGATTTCAAGAACGGGTAATCAGCGGGGTGCAACTGCATACCCTGTGTCGGCGTAAGGGTAATCGAGTTGGCCTTCGTTGCAACGAGGGCTTCATGTATGTGGAAAATGATTTCAGGGATCATAGCTATACAAACCGCTCCGCCTACGTAATGCGTGAGGAAGATTTCTTCGATGGAACCATCCCAGTACAATTCATACACCTGTATAGTGTATCACCGATTGCGCACAACGACAGAGACGAAGATCATCCTACCATGAGCTGACGTGTCTCTATCGTACGACCAAAAGCGGGTGCAGCTTCGACGATCCAGTGCACCAAATTCGAGTGCGACGTCATGCATTTTTTCGGGGGACCAGTCGATCCACTTGTAAAACTTAGGTACGCCAGAGTGTTTTTCGGATTTCCAATGGGGAAGAGGTCAGGCTGCCAAGTGCTGTCTAAGTGGCACCATTTCTCTATCATGGTGTCTATCGAAACAGTAGTCCGTCCCCGGCTCATCGTACGCAACTTCTCCTCTAGTGATGTAACCGTCAGGAATAACGAGCAGTTAGTCATATCGATCGTTTGGTGGAAGGGAATGGCAGGCATGTCAATGTCGACAGCGAGATATGCTGCGCCAACCTTTAGAATCGCATAGAGGAGAACGATTGCCGTTGGAGACTGCGTCAGGAAAAGAAGTACAATGTCACCGGGACGAACAGATAAAACGTCTTTCAAGTATCGCGCGCATTGATTGGAAGCGGCGTCGAGTCCAGCATAGGTATATACCACTCTTCCATCGCATTCAACGGCGACGTTGTCTGGATGAGTAAGGGTGCGACGTGCCAGCAGATCGTAAACGTAAGAGTAACGTGCGGGGTTCTCCGGTTCAGCTAAACAGTTGATCTTGACGACAGAAGGGAGTTCCTGCACGAACGCACGCTCATTCGCAGTCATCATATTGACCTCCGCACCAGACAATGAGGGGTTAACGAGGAGTTGCTCAAACGCAAGAACGAGGTGGTCGAGCATATACTGTACATCTTGCGCGTCGAAGGCACTGAGATCGAATCTCAAAGTAAAGGTGAACGACCGCGATGGGGTATACGAGAGTGTTAGATCCAGCGGCGTGTCGTATGAGCGGAAATGCGATCGCTGAGGTAAGGAAGATAGGGAAAACCCAGGCTCCTCGAGGATCTCTGCAACAGAGTGGATTACCTTGTCTATCTCTATCACGCTCCGGAAGACTTCCCAAGCTACCGAAGCATGAATGGTATCTTGAGCTAGTTGCATGGACAACTGTTCTCGAGCAGGGGAAGTCGAGGCAAACTGAACCCGTCGAGGGACGAACGCGATCCTGGGCAACACTAGATACATATTATTCTTCAGCGGCAAAACTCAAAAACGTCAGATGACATGCCTTCAGCAATGAGAACATCCTCAGTGCCGGCATGTTGTGACAGAACGACAGCCCAAGCATAAAGCAGCGTCAATCGAATGTCATCGTGGTTCATTCGTTCCAGAGCAGGATGCTCTAAGTCTGAGCTTGATTTGGTGATGCAAATAGAAGCGGAGGCCGAAGGTGCACGAACACATTCGGTGAGAGGAACCGAGTCGAAATCTGACAACAAGGTGTGCCAGTAGCGCGCAGAATCTGCGCATAACTGGCTGGCTATCATAGTACACCCAAATGGGGGGGAAGACGAGGAGCAACAGAAGCCGATGTAGTGAAGGATGCCTAGAAGGGCAGAGTTATCAAAAAACAAGGGACTAGGAAGTAAAACAGTGACGGCCTGTTATGAACATCGAGGAGGATATAGAATCAAGACAGACTGTTAGGCCCGCTCAAAGTTGAGCAGTGTCCGCTCTACGTGTTCAACCAGTTAGCTAGGGGAAAGAGCGTATGCCAGTGCTTATGGGAGAGGATCTATGTATTAGAACATGGGTGGTGATCAAAAGATAAACAATGCCAAAAAGAGACTCTGGTGTGTTGGCGCGTCAACGCGAAATCGAACCGTGGAGTTCTCGACTACCACACTCGTGGTTTCCATTGCACAGGACCCAGTCGAGTGCTGACGGTTTCAACTCTTTGACGGAACCCCTCCCCCAGAGCCCTTGCTCGATTAATCGTCGGTTGCACAGTATTATCCTTGGGAAACGTTCAGTGACTGTAATGGATTTTGACTTCACAGCATACCTTGCGAAATTGCTATACCTCCCTCCGAACCAGATTACCATTCAATTCCTTACCGGTGGCTTCTGCAACGTAACGGTCCGAGCATCATTCACCCCGCCAGCAGACCTTACACGCTTTTGCCATTCAAAGTCTGTCCCAAGCATCGTGGTCAAATATGCACCTCCCTTCATGGCTACCGATCCGTCTCAGCCTTTGAACGTGATCCGACAACACATAGAGGCGCGCGCGCTGCTGCTTCTCGATCCAATGTCACCGTCACCTTTACCGGTCAGCTCCTTGTTGATCAAGTATCCAAACTTTAGGATTCCCAGATTCATTCATCATGATGTTGAGTCCAGCGTGCTCATGATGACAGATCTTGGCACAGCGGTGGCAACGGTTGACAAGTGGCTGTCAAGAGACCCACCACCCACGGTGGAAGAAGTGCAACGTGTTGCCAGCGATCTTGGCCAGTTTCTTGCCGAATTTGTCATGGCCACCAGAGAGCCTAGTGCAGATGTATTGGCTCGTGCACCCAACTCTGCGATGGTAGATCAGTTCTACTCAGATTCCGTGAATATCACGAGGACTGTTCTTAATCGACACGGCGTTTCGGATGCGGAAACACTTGTCAGGCGTGTGGAAAGGGCCTTTAGAGATGCAGACAAAACGGATAGATGCCTTGGCATGGTCGACCTGTGGACCAGCAACATTCTCATTGACCCAGACAACAACATATGTTTAGTCGACTGGGAGCACTTTGGTCTCTCCAATGCGAGCTGCGAGCTCAGCATGCTAGGTAGGTCGACACGAGTCTGCATGCTACCGCACATGTCTAACATGTATATCCTAGTCCAATCATTTCATTGGCTTCTGTTACGTTCTGATTCAACTTACGATCTGACGGAGCGCACGAACGCGTTCACCCAAACGATGCTTCAGAACTACGCACTTCGCACCCCTCCTCCTTCTCTCCCTTTCAAGCGTTACGCACTCCTTGCATATGGTTGCCTCACGATCAACATTCTGGACTTCTTCAAATCAGAATTCAATGAAAACATGAGACAAATGGCACTTGAAGCAGGGGTGGGCTATCTGAGGGCTGCAGGGGAATCAGTAGAAACTATCGATTCATCCATCTTCGACGGCTCTGACTGGCAAAACCTGACGCCCCATGAAAGGCTCTACGAAAGGGGCAGGTTGATGATGGCCGCTCGGTGATAATGACTCCAAACGAACTTCCTATGCACCCATTACTCGTATCCTCCGTGACACGTTTAGTAGAAAAACTTTACCCATGATGGCTTGTAGTCTAGTTCCAACGTGAATGCGTGAACTCTAACAAAAATGTCAGCTGTGGAAGATACTGACGTAGGTCAGATTTGTTTCGAAGAGTCCTTGTCGTGTTGCCCGTGTGAATGTACACCTACTCCTGGAATATCTGAAATGAAAAGAGGAAAGTACTGGACGAGGCATCTGGTCAGTCTCCTACGAAGAAATTAACTCACGGACATGGAAGCGCATCCACAATGGAAGTGGATGACATGTAAATATGCCAGTAATACTTTCATCCTACTATTATGCTTGTCTCGTGTCGTTACGGAATTTGTAAACCATTTAATCAAAATCTGCCGAGTTCTAATGGAGTCGGCGATTGTGACGCACTGCGCCGCTAGGGGATACAATAATTCAACGTTGTTTCCCACTCCGAGTCATTGCCTTTTCCGCAGGGTACTACTAGCCAGCAACGTATCTAAGGCAACGCGCTCCGAGTGCAAACTACGCAGTTACTTGGGCCCCATAGTTCTGAAACAGTGGCTCCACACTGCGTACGAATGATCCTGTCAGGGAGGCGCTTCTGCTCGCAACCTTGTCTCCTCCAAATTCTCAATGGGGTAGTTGCGCGATTCCTCTTTGGCGTTATCTACGCCAACTACAATGAACCCAAAAAGTACGAAGAGAGCTCCTATCACGACCTGGGCTGCAGCAGGTTTGCCGAGGAAAAAATCCCCTGTGATTGCTAACGGAATTGTCAGGCTAAGGCCGACGGTCGCTACGAGGGGTGTGGTCTTCAGCATAGCGATGACGTAGATGTAGTCGCTTGAGAGTGTAATGAACATCTATGTCGCGGGGATGTGAGTATGGTGGGTTTTCACGAACTGAGTACCCACGTTGACGATAATGGCAACCAACGTCTGACGAGTATTTGGAAGTTCCAAACGTTCTACCCCGGAGATGTGGAGTAAAAGCCCTATGGGCCAGCACAGGAAAATATTGAAGAGTCCGACAAATCCGAAAAACAATTGCATGTCTATCCGTGACTCCTCCTGAATCTTAACTTTCAGCAATACCATATATATCGCATAGAGAAGAGCTGAGAGCAGAGCAAGAATATCTCCTACGACTAGGAGCAGATGGAACGGGCCGGGCATCGAATATGGTCCAGGATCCTGGGATGAGTCTGAGAATGAGACAAGAACCACCCCGCCAAAGCTAGCATAATTCGTGAATTCTAGTAAAGGTATTCACAAGCCCGGTTCCCCATACCTTAACAGAACCGCGCCGATATTGACCATAGCTATCGCCTCCACATGGAATACACGGCCCACCACGAGTGTAAATATTCCTACCGCATTTTCTAGGTCATATTGTGGACGACAATAAACAGCGTACCCACCACTCATGCTGGATAAAACAGTTGCGCTTGCTACGCTCGTATATGCCAGGGCGGCATTGAAACTCCAGTTGGCGGTGAACCAGAGGAAGGAGAAATACAGGGCTAGCCAAGCGGTCTCTTGAGGGGTGAGCCGTGAGGTTTCATTATAAGAGCGCTGAAAGTCCTGGTGTACAAATGAATATGCGCCGATGTATAGTGCATTTAGAAGGGTACACTGGGATTGGGTTCACTGGGTATGTCCTGTGCTAGTGGTTGATAACTGCGGACGCGTAGTTAGGGCTGATGAGCACCAGTGAACAATTTTCGAGGTGGAGAAGGTGGTAGCACCTGATATCTTTATATCTATCCCGTAGATGTCGGAGGTAAAATGGGATAAGATAGCAGGTAAACGCAGACGTGCTTGTATACGTGACCCTACAGTTGGAAGAAAATCATATGAACGAGGCCATGAAGCAGGCCTCGGCACATACAAGAAAGGTTTCTGATAGCCTCCAACAAACATGTACTGCAGTAAAATCAGCCGATACTTTCAGTACGGTTTAAAATACGGTGCAGACCTGTGTCACGAAGTTGGACAAAGTCGAAAGTATGACGACGACGAGAAGGAGACATATGCCAATGATATAATTGCTGGTTGCAAAATCCTTGAGAGTGCGAGAATCTGACTTCGACCTGGTCCCGTTAATACCATCTGACACCATACTCATGCGAACTGGGGTCGTCCAACAGCGTTGTCGTTGGCCGGGCGGTGAGACGCCTAAGCTCACAGAATTCGCATGCGTGGTTCGCTAGTTACGTATCGAGAGGCTGACCATTACAACCGTTTCGGAAATTCTTGTCCGAGTGGCGCAATCAAGCAGTTCTGACGCTCTTTGCTTCACGTCGGCACTGATTTTGCAATATACCATAGTGAAAACCGCGTTCTGCAACGTGTTGTTGGTTTTTCTGATTTTTTATTTTTTATTTTTTAAATGTGCGTTTGCGCCACTCGGACAAGAAGTTCCGAAACGATTGTAATGGTCAACCAATTCAACCCCTATCCAATCCTCCTATCAACAGCATGGCAACCAACCACCCCCACCCCAGCACCTTGGACGACCAAGTCCGTCTCTCTGAACAGTTCCAGCTGCTCGATCAGCTCGGCTACTCACACCTGTATGGCGATGACTGACATGGTGACAACTTGGGGAATAGTTGGGCACCCAATCACAAAGCTGAGGTTCATGCTCTTGACACTATCGCAGTTGCGCTGACGACTGGCGCTCCCAGAGAAACTTTCGCTACTGCATTGGACAACCGCAAGAAGGGTCCAACACTCGTCCTAGCAAAAAATACTCCTGTTACTCATGAAGACGAGCAGGCCATTTATCGCTTGCTCAAAGCGATTACTGCTTTCACCACTGAAAATGCATGTGATGTTCTCCCTTTCCTGATTTCTCATTGCCAGGAAAACATTGAGAAGTGGGTCATGAAGATGTGTCAAGCTGTGGCCATGCTCTCTCATGATCTCGAGGAAATCCTAAATGATTACAATGCCTCCTCTATCAAAGGAGAGTTCCCCAACTCTGCCAGTGTGTGGTATTGCCAAGGGAGGTATTCCAGGAGTGAACCTCCTTTTTCACAAATGATGCATAATCTCTTGGAGGATATTGAGTCAAGAGCTTGAGCTCTTGCCTTAGGGGATGCCAATCTCTCAGCAAAGCCATATGCATTGCTTGTGATGATTGCCTTTGTCCTCCAGGAATCCTGTTTCCTACATTTTCTCTGTGGATACATCAGTCAAGTGCATCTGCTCTGCAAGCCACTGGGGGAAAAGCTGAGGTGTCATCTCAGCAAAGTTTGCCAATATTATCATGACATTAATGACCTGGTTGGGTATGCCAAGTGTCATTTCCCAGATGGCATTGACCATTGTTGGGTGGTTGCTACTGCTGGCACTGAAGAGGCTGCAATTGAGCTTGGTGAAAGTTACTTCAATGCTGTATCACATGCACTCTGCCACCCCCTCTTGGTGGAAGATGTAGCCACACTGCACAAGAGCTTCCTGCATATGGAGGAGAGGTGGTATTGCGCAGAGGAACGGGAGAAACGAAGAGCAATAGGCAAGAACACTTGCCTTTAATCAGAACAGTAGTAGTGTTTGATAGCTTGTTAAGCATTGAGGGGCTCAGTTGTCGAGTAGACAAGTGAAGAACGAATATAGAATTCGATAGGGATTGAGGAAGAAATCCCTGAGTTTATATACATGAGTAGGTATGCATGGACCAGTAGTGTAAAAGGAAACTACTACTCAGTATAGTAAGGAATAATGCAGAAGGTCATGGAATATGACGTATGATATGATGTCAATATGACATCATTGTGGAGCTGATTGCTAAGAAATGTCATGTGATATACAACGTGTCAATACATGTGTAAGTCTGGATCAATCTAGATGTTGGAACTATTAAGGATATTTCCAACACTCCCCCTTGCTCTAAAATGGTAAGGTCACAAGACCCATTGATGAGCGATTAGTTTCGAACTTCTGCCAAGTAAGAGACTTCGTAAGACCATCTGCTTTTTGTTTGTCAGTTTGAACATATTCAATACTGAACAAATTATCTTGAACACATTTGCAAATGAAGTGCCACTGGACATCGATATGCTTTGACCGACCATCTGATACAGGATTTTCTGCTATGAAGCAAGCTCCCATATTGTCGCAGTATAGAATAGTTTTCTCGGTCTTGAGTTGAAGTTCATCAAATAGCATAGACAGCCATTTGATTTGTCTGGCAGCATCGCATAAAGCCATATACTTGGCTTCAGTGGAGGAAAGTGCGATAGTCTTCTGTTTTCAAGACTGCCAAGAGATTAGGGAATTGCCAAGATACATGGCATAACCGGTAGTTGAATGCCATGTATCTTTATTTGCAGCCCAATCAGAATCTGCAAAGCCATAGATTCGAGATTCAATTCCCGAATAATATAAAGCCATTTTTGGAGTAGATGCAATATAGCGAACTATATGCAAGGCTTTATTTCGGTGATCTTTGGTAGGATTTGCCATATATTGAGACATGTGAATAACCGCAAAGGCAATATCAGGACAAGTACCGAGAGCCATATATAGTAATGACCCTATGATTGACTGATACTGTGACTGAAGAAAAGATGTGGCTTGATAATCTGATGGTGCTTTTTCTGGTTGATATCCCGAGGGTAATGGAGTGCGAACATTTCGAGCAGTCTCCATATTAAACCGCTTGATAACCTTTTTGACATAAGGTATCTGGTCAAGATAAATTTCTTTCTTTGACCTATTTCAGTGAACTTGAATGCCAAGGTATTCCTTGACTTCACCAAGATCTCGGGATTCCCATTTCTTCATAAATTGTTCTTTCTTGGCTTTAAGAAGACGTTTATCTGACCCTAGAAAGAGTCCATTGTCGACATAGATGAGAAAGATGACGATTCCAGCTTTGGATATGTGAATATAAATTCCAGCATCCACTTTTGAACGAATATAGCCCATTGCGAGTAAAGATTGATGAAGGGCTTTATTCCATGCCAGTGCAGCTTGCTTTAAGCCATAAAGGGCTCTAAGCAACCGATAAACCTTGTGTTCTTGACCCAAAACTTTGAAACCTTCTGGTTGCTCCATATAAATTTCTTCATTGAGATTGCCATATAAGAAGGCAGTTTTAACATCCAGGGCTTCTGTATCCCAATTTCTTTGGGCAGGGAAAGTGAGTAAGATTTGAACTGTTTTGAAACGAGCCACTGGAGAGAAGGTATCTTCAAAGTCAGTACTGAATTCTTGTGTGAAGCCTTTAGCCACAAGATGAGCTTTATAACGACCATCGCTTTTGATAGTGAAAACCCATTGACACTTTACAGGTTTCTGATCTCTAGGAGGATCCACCAAGGTCCATACTTGTCTTTCTTCAATAGACTTTAATTCATCCTTCATTGCATCGAACCACTTCTTTTGCAAATCGGGAGATAATTTTAGCACATCTTTATAATGTTCCGGAGATTCTTTTATCCGGGCAGCCAATGCAAACTCGAAAGGATGCATTTCCAACTGTTGATCTGGCATGCCTTTTGGGGAAGAAGGAGTATCCAGTAGTGGAGTAAGTGGAGAACCAGGAGATGTAGGAGTAGTTCCTTGTGGATGTTCAGTCCACTGATGAGGAACTATAGGAGGAATCATAGAAGGAGGTAACCTCAGAGAAGGAGGTCTGCGATCCTCTGCTTGTGATCTAATAAACTCCCTGGTTTGTTGTGCATGCCTTTCAGCATTGCAAATCCACTCTTGTGCTTGATCCCAATTTTGTTGAATATCTCGTTCAATTTGAACAGGAGGTCTATCTCCATAGATATTCCCAGGACAAGATACTGGTATAAATCGACGTTTTGGACAAGGTTCTCTGTCATCGGTAGGAGGATGAGCTCTATGAACATTATGCGAGTCTCCTTGAATAAATTCTGGTTGATGAGGATGCCTAAGATGATGAGGGTCGACTGGTGGTACAGCAGCAGGTGCTCTTCTTTGTTGTTGAGCTCTAGGCTGGTCCACAGCTCTCTGCTGTGGGTTTGGTTGTGGTGGAGTATTAGGATGAGGTGGTTGCTGGTGATGAGTCGGCGGTTGGATCTGATCAGGATCCGGTAATGAATGTAGGCTTTCTGTATCGGAAACAGATGATTTTTGGTCGTCTTCGGTATCGGGGTCAAAGGTTTCAGATTTGTTTTGACCAGAGCAGAAAGGAAAAGAGTCTTCTACGAATTTTGCAGTACGAGAAAGAATAATCTTCTGTCCATGAAGGAAACGATATCCTTTTTATTAGGCTCGTAACCCAAGAAAATCATTTCAACTGCATGAGGTTCCAATTTATCTTTCCTTTGTTCTTTAGGAACCCATACAAAAGCTTTGCAGCCAAAGGTGCGGAAATAAGTAATATCTGGGATTTTTCCTAGGAAAAGCTTGACCGGAGTTTTGAATTGAATCCTCTTAAGAGGAGTTCGATTGTACACATGAAGTGCACAGTCAAAGGCAAAGTTCCAGAAGTGTTTAGGAATACAAGCATGGTGTCGAATGGTCCCAGCTTTCTCGGAAATAGTCCAATTGAAGCATTCTGCACGACCATTTTGTTGTGGTTGATCAGCAATAGACAATTGATGGGTAATTCTGCACGAAGAAAGGAGCGCCTTGAAAGTATGACCCATAAATTCTCCCCCTCGATCCGAATGGAGTGCAAGTAAATGATGTCCAGTAGTATTTTGCACAGACACCATCCAATTGGCAAAAGCAGTATAAGTGTCGGATTTGTTGCGAAGGTAGAGACAAAAACCATAAGATGAAAAATCATCCAAGAGGGTTAAGATATATTTGGACCGAAAATACGATTCAACAGGTAATTCAAGAAGGTCAGCATGGACCAACTCGAGAGACTTTGTAGCTCTTTTCCATGATGGTTTAAAAGCTTCAGAAGAAAGTTTGCCCTGTGTGCAACCTTTGCAAGAGGTAGGCTCCCCCTGTATTTGTAGATCTTGTTTAAGGCCTAATCGGCGAATATGTCTGAGAACTGCATGAGCAGGATGACACATGCGATTATGCCAGAGAGACTCTTGTGACTCCTTAACCAAAGGGCAAAGGACCCCAAAAGCAGTGGTAGGTGGAAGTGGTATGCCCACAAACCAGTGTAGAGGTGAAGTCGGTGAA